GAAAAATCCCTCAGGTATGACACGATAAACTTACTACGGCACTCTAACAAATAGTCCCATTAGTTTTTATTTTCCTTTCCTCGTTACTATTACACTGTTGTTATCATCTTCTATCACACATCAACTTTATATTTCATATCCTGTGGTGCATTGTTTGAAATGTAGACTCTACTCTGTTTTTTTTAATTTTTATTTATCTTTTATTTTTTTGGCGTTTTTTTTTAATTGATTAATTAATTGTTTTGATTTTAAAAATCTTATAAAATTTATGAGGTAATTAGATGCAATATATTCTAATGCACGCTGAAAATTTCATACCTGCACCACAAATACCGTTTGGAATAAAGCTGTTAATATTATTATTATTATCATTATTATTAAAGTTAGAAGAACATATTGAAGGTCAAAATAACAATGAAGATCACTAAACCAAATAAGAGAGGTGAGAGGACATCTCTCCTGGCTGGTATCAAAACAAAGTTTACCAATGAAAGTGGTTCAGTGTGATGACGAATTGTTTGTAAACTTCCTAACTGTCAGGACCTCCATAAGCCTTAGAATACGCCCCAAACACGTTTTGTAGATAGGTTCAAAAGACGTCTAAACACCAATTTTATGTCCTCTCGCTATAATGTGTTTCTCAATAGAGGAGTTAGGTCGTCTGTTCTCATCAATTATGCGTTCTGTAGATTCAGTTTGCTTCTGAAGCCGTTTAGGAATATGCTCAGAAGCCAGCCCTTACTTGCAATGATCTGTGAGTCCTCCCTATACAGGTGTGGCCACACGTACATTCAAGCTGGCGAATACAGTGGGGTGTGACATCATTTTTTGCATGCTCTCAGGGCTTAGATGGATATATCAGCGAGTTGGAGAATGGGTCTTGGTGTTCTGACTACTTTATATCTCCTAATGAACTTGTCTTGATAATTATTATCACCCAAAGTTTGTGTCAATTTCCTTTCTTCATCATCGAGTGTGTCTTTGGTGCATATTCGTTTGACTTTACTGAAGAGGTATCTCACTAATGCTGTTTTGTATGGAACAGGGCAGAAGCTGTGATGATTAAGACACGGTCCTGTCCAGGTAGCTTTACTATGAATAGATCGTTGTATTGACCCATTAGGCCGTCAACTTAGCAATATATCTAGGATAGATAAACAATTCTCTTTCTCTTCTACATATGTAAGCGATCTGCTATTCTGAACTTGATTCATTCGATATAAAATTGAGGTGTCAGAATAAGGTTTTTCACTTATGATTACGACCTACACCTCTCGTGTGGATGACGTGCTTTCTATCACTAGCCCAGCGATGCACACCCATCCATGCAATTTCATTCTATTTTACTGTAAGGATAAGAGAACATATTTCTGTGAAATGAAGCCGTTGCGTTTGTGAGGATTCGAACAACTTCAAACACAATTTCATCATTGACGGAAACTGGTTATAAAATTAGCAAAAACTAAGCAAATATAGATAAACGCGTCCTTCAAATTTGAATTTCTCAATGGTATCCTGTGCATCGTATACACAGAGAGATGAATACGTTTGGATTTCCAAGTGTTGCTTCATGGAGATTTTGTGGATGCGATTTACATTCATTCGTGAAACAACAACGGTTAGAGAACCATTTGGCCCATTGCTGTCCGAATGCTTCATGGCATCCACTCGGGTAAGCGCCCTCCAGCCAGCAGTCAAACAGCTCAAAGTTTGCAAGAGTTACACGGATGATGTATTTATCATCATCGATGAGAATATGGATTTCAACAAACTTTGGAAATTGTTAACAACGATCACTGACTGGTCGGATTTAAAATTGCAGCGGGATCGGAGGACAAGTTATCCTTCCGAGATGTCAGGCTTCTAAGACAATGCAATGGGAACCCACAAAGATCAATCTAACTTAGGCCAAAATGAGATGGATAGCTGACCAACTTTCACACTTTCCTCAATCTCATGAGATGAGAATCCACCACATATGCAGGAAAGATACATAAAATGAGTAATTGGAATCCTTCAGGAGCATTGTATTCAAAATGGATATCCAACCTCCATCATCGACAAACATCTATAGAGAAAGATCGATTCCTTGCAAAAGCTGGATGCGCTGAGGAAACGACTAGCTGTATATCTGAAATTCAAGGGAGATACCATTGGTGAGGCTCTCCGAAGCCGCCGCCTGTCGGGACCATTTTGTAGAACGTTCTTTGTTGCATGTTAGCAGCATAACTTCTCCACACGTGTTCTTGTTCATCTGAACGTCAAAGGTTAGATCCCACTGTTGTCAACGTCAATATGCATTTTCCCATTCACACTTGATGCTGTGGAGCCAATTACATAAGTCGTGACAGTAGGACAATGTCTCACGAACAATTGCCTGCGTGATTGTCAAAAGAGGAACGAAAGAAAGTCAAAAGCTCAATTCTGGAGTACACTATCACTTCTGGTCATACATCACCAGCAAATACCTCTTTCGGGGTCAGATATAAATTACGATCAAGCCGTTCCAGAATATTTCGTCTACACTTTCTTCATGTAGTCGAAGCTTTAGAACTTCGCTTTGATTTATTCTTCTCATTAACGGATGATAATGTCTGACCTATGCTATCGACTAGCATTGTTTATATGACCCCCATATAAGTGTTTATGTTTGAAGTGAATTAACGAAAACAGATCTCTTTGTTGACTTGTGTGTTCTCAGTGAATGAACTATTGATGATCGTCGGGTACTGACCAGCTGTGTCATCCTGCTCTGGTGCTTTCTGGAAGATATCATCTATGACACCACAGGAGATAGAACAGAAAACCTGTGAGATCCGAGATGAACACACCGCCATTCACATACTAAGGTCAAATGCGATCACTTATGAATCACTAAATGGGTGAGTTCATAGAATCGTCCATCCATTTTTTAAAGGTAAGTCCACTTCAAATGGTGAAGGGAGGTTACGAAGTAATGCATACAATTATAAGAATTCTGGACTCAATATTGATGGAGCATTCGTAATATCTCAGTTGTTGGTTGTCACTGGAGATGAGAGGAATATCAGTGAATGAAAACGGAATATTTTGGGAGAATATCTCAACTAAAGGGTATAATACAAAGAATGTGAGCGGACCTCAGTATTTTACAACCAGGAAGAAAATGGGATATAGTGAGTTCGTTATTTTATTTCAGTGTAATCGGTTTTTTCAACTTAGATTACTATGCAACTGCACTGGATTTACGTTCAGTATTATTCTTCCTTCTGCTTAGTTAATTGCACACTGGCCAAGCTTTTTGTTGAACATTACTTCCCTGTCTTCAGAATGAACAATCTGTCTATGATACCACTGACAGTTTTACTTAGCAACGTCACGTTTGATAGGTGTAACCTGATAACTTCGCTCAATGTACTACATAGAATCACTGGAAATATGCGAAGCCTTTTCCAAACTTGAGAATATTATATCACTTTTAGTGTTTGCAGGATTAGAATTTCAGACCCTTCTGAAAACATGATGAAGAAAGGGCAAATAAATGAAGATGACTGACTGGTGTCTGTAATTCATCGTATGGGCCAGTTGGCCCAGTAATTAGCCATCCACAGTCTTTAAAACACCTGTGTTTAACTACACTGGAAGGTGTTCTTCAGTCGAGACTACTGAATTCCTGTGGAAACCACTAAGATAACTATTCTCACAGAGGTTGTCAAACTAAGAACCGGTAATATTGAGTAACTCATTCTCTGCGCTCTGTGTCACTATCGGAATTGTGGGAAGCATAATTCGTAATATTCTTATGTCACAATTTCTCTGGCCAGATCTGCATCGCTTTTGAATCAAAATATCATTCACCACATCGCTGCCTAATCGCATTCAAATGTACTTCGGCTTATACTATCAGCAGTCGAAGAACGTTTCTTTTCTGTTCTTCATGGTATGTCTTCTAATGGATTCCTCTGGATAACTGTTTTCAAGTAGAGTGTCTTGTGAGGTCATCACTTCTTCAACGGTATGATATATTCCGTGGTTCAGAGATCTTATCAAATATCACTCGTATTCCAAGGAAACAAGGCTAATTTGTGCATTCGCCTCTCAATCCACATACTCCTTCTTTCACACGAATACCTTCTTATTGATCCATATACTCACACTAAAACAATAACATGCTTCACACACACACACATTCTCGCTCACTTGTAAACTGCATAGATAAATGTATTTAGTTGAATCTAGTAAGTATCTCATCACTGTTCATCTTTTTAATGACAGCGGCTGAATGAATCCCTCAATCACTTCTTATAAACTGTAAACTTTCTCACTGAATGTTGTAGTGAATCATTTCCTAGCTTTGTCGTCAATAGGTGTGCAAATTTGCACTCAATAGAGAACCAATTACGACTCAGTATTTCCATCCGTGTAATTCTCCCTAGAACTAAAATTCATCATACGCTTCAGACATTCTTCTTTACATTCATTTAATGGAATCTTATTGCCCCTGTCAACGGAATATTTCGTGAAGGAGAAGTTAATTACTTGGATACCATCAATACATTCCCAATATTTATATTTTTACCATGTCACTGATTACAAACACTTTCTGTTTTACATTGTATTGTACTGAATGTATGTGTAAGTGCAGAGCCCAATGAGAATGTTATTGTATATTCATTACTGAATAGTCTGTATTTGAAATGTTTAATTACCTCATGGAGTGTATGGACAATGAAAATGAAAAATACGTTTCAGTTTTACAATGATTTATACTGTGTGTACATGTGTTTTACGAACTTCAAGGTGAAGTGTTCAAATGAACATGATACAGTTGCTTTAGTCACATAGTGCTAATTTATCCAAAAAAACATTCCTATTGATATGCATATTGCTAAAATATCTGCCCATAGAAGGAAAGCTATTTGTTCATAGCTAAATAGAGATGAATCACCGTCTCTGCAGCGTTTCATTTCACATGCAGTAACAAATTCTAACTGTAATTCAAAACGGGTTAGATTGCATTAGTGAGAGAAAATTATTTGTTCTCTAACCGACATCAGTTAGAGAGGCAGTGAGAAACAGAGATTAATGGACAGGTGCTATGTCCATTTTGCATTAATAACAATCTGGGAGATGAAGCGCCTGTAGTACCAGTGAGGTTTCTCGGCTATTGAGGTCCACCAAATTGGGTATGAGGAAGGATGCACATCGATTACAGTGACTGATGGTGGTTCTACATATTGCGAGTCATCAGAAAATAGCATTTAATGTACCAATAGAACCCCTGACCCACTGACCTACCAATTGGTTTCATCATAGAGCTTTACACCGGGGTGCAGGAGTTTCAGTTGTCACACTCCATGTGGCATACAAAGCGAGACAAAAGATAAGAGTTTCGAAAGGGGAATTATAAACAGGGATGTGAGGAGGGAGTAGACAGCGTCTCAGTTAGTGTTGGAGAGTGGTAGGTTCGCCTGTCAATCTGGAAATTCTGAGTTCGATCTCTGGCTGTGTGTTGTGTTTGCACTCTTGAAGAGCTACGGATTAGAATAAGACGGCTGTCTAGTATTCCGGGGTTTTTAATTCTTCTCTTATTGATGTGAGTTAGTGATGAAATTCAACATAAAGTCAGTCATATTCCTGAAAACCAGACGATTGATAATAATTATTGTGTGTTACTTCAGTAATGGTAAATGGCAAAATATAGCGCAGTGATGAAAGTAATATTGTCATAGGAATCGTAATCTGCTATGCTTAACAGTGTGATCCGCTCAACCTCGACAGCTGACAACGGAAATCATCCACATATGTGATGACTATTGAATGTTTCACTGCGAGGCATTGTTCGAACTCTCAATAGTCTTGTTAGCATCTTCACCTCAAGTTTGATCCAATATTGTGTTTCAGTTGTGTTGTAGAATACGATTCCTCATGGACTGTTGATAAATTTTTCTTTTCAACCTCTCCCTTCATTAGGTTAGATATGGAGCTGTCTAGTGGAGACCCGACATATCTGTCTACTTCAAGCTCTTCACTTATAGATGGCTTGGAAATACTCAGGTACTTCATTCAACTTGGAGATTCTCAGATGTTGGATGGTGCTTCGGGTGGGAACGTGTTAATTGAATAGAGTTTAGCACATCATTTGATCTATTATGCATTAATACATTGCTGTATTTTCCACATAACTTTGCACTTGCCTCAGCGTATTGAAGTATCTTATTCAGAAATCTAATCTACTCTCAATAATATGTGCATTACTGAATACACTATACAATTAACCCAGGGTGTTGTGGTTATCGTATTGTCCAATAAATGAGAAGAAGAGGCAGTCTCATTGAGATTCAAATGTTTGAGTTAGCATAGATCTGTATGGACCTAAAGACAAATGCGTCTTTAATTAGAAATTAACATGTGATGCGTGAATTTATTGCAAATATAAGCACAAGTTTAAGTGCATCTTAAGCATTTACTTTTATGGCTTGTAGGAGTTTTGACTAATTTCAGCGTATTTTCGTGTTGTTGTATTCTGTGAGTTTGAGTGGTTATGCGAAGAAGTTTTCCTTCTGGACAGCGTCATCTGCAATAACTGCATTTTTGTTCAGAAGAATATTGAATGCTTCCCACATGAACTGTCCAGTTCAGAGACGAGGACAACGCCGAAAACATCGACTTCAGCTATACATCTTCCTCACAACTTTCTAATTTCAGTGTGGTCCTTAATCCATATTGAAATCTGAAGTGAACAGTCGTCAAATGAATTTGTTTTGTAGGTCATCTCACAAACACTTGGAATTAGTGAATGCATTCGTATTTTCCTAATTAACAGGGAAAACTTGATTTTTCATGTTCATAAGATTTATTCTCTACTAAAGGTTTGCGTAAGACTTACGATTGTTGCAGCACACGTCCAACAGGCACTTGTAGCGAATTCCATAAACAGAATAGAGTCCTAAATTTCAATAAAAACCCAATGGAATAAGTAAATTAATTTACACTTCAACAGGTTACAAATATATATATATATATATATATATTTATATGTATATATGTGTGTGTATGCCCCTACACGAACAGGGGAAATGATATATCCACACAGAAGTATCCTGTCTTAAAGAGTTTAAGATCCTTGTCGATCATAGTTGAGAGATGTTAGAAGTAGCTAAGTAAACGGTCAGATAGTGGATATCTTGCTGACACTGACCATTCTATCGCAGCAAACACCCAATTCAAAGTAATGCACAAAGTGAAGAACAACCTACTAAATGGAAATACATTTTTGCTTCTTCATGCATTACTGAATTTCCAATCATCCAGACAGAAAAGCTGGTTCTCCGGTAACTGGAGAAACCTATTCTACCACTTTTGCTATCATGCTGACGACATTCATCTTTGTTTCTTCCAAAATCTTTCAATCTCTCTCTTGCGTAGTAACACATTTTCATTTGTTTCTATTTGCTTCCTGATTACAACTCATCCTTTCCTTTATTTACTGCACTATGTAATTCTAACGCTCTTGCTCATCTCTTCTGATGCATTGATTAATATAAGCGGCTGTTATCATGACAACTTGGCTTTCTCTGTTCATTAGTCCCTGGATTTGGACTATTCATGAGTGTTACAGGGCACCACTGAAACGTTCTTTTTCTTACTAATCAAGTGTAAAGCAAGACTTGAAGTTTGACAGAGGACTGACAGAGAGTGAATTGACTTGATAATCACACCAGTGTAACAGAGAACGGTTGCTGATGATATATCTCAATATGAAGAATATTCAAGAGGCTGAAGTCTCTTGAATAGGTCTTACACAGTGGACGACAGTGGATAATTATTACTCGAGATTGTGAATTGAAAAATTCGTAAAACGTTTAAATTGCTTGGGCGAACCAAACAACACAGCGGCTTAACTCAGTTCAACTGCACTAAAGAAAGCAAATTAACTTGACTGATAGTGTCCTGCAGCAGAATCCATAACTCGGGTTTCTTCCTAATCTGGGTGTATCTGCATCCTCTGTGAGTGATGGTGTTCAAGTTGTGAGTTCACGTTCGAATAGCCACTCCATCATTCACTGGGAATGTAGTTGCATTCAGATGCTGAACCTCAAGTAGAATGAAATGCAGATCATGGATTTCAGTGCTAGGAAACATCGATCAAGTTTCATCAGGCAAATCGCCACACATTTCTGAGGAGTCCAATATGAAAGCCAATATGTTAACAGAGACTGACGGTTTCAGCATAGAATAATTAATCAGTGCTAAACCATATAACTTACTGTGTAATGTATTTTTAAAGGGAACGTTCTATGGCTTTAAAATTCACACAAACTTTTTCAATAAACTCCTAATGATTCTACTCATGGGAATCAAGCACTGTTTTTCTCCTGAAGAGCCTTTATCTGAACATAAGATATATAATATCTCCTAGTCGCTGAATTTATAAATAGTAATAATAATTTTTCCTTCACGTTCCCAGTGGAACATAGGGCTTCAAGCTAGTGGCTTGAAGTTTCTGTAGCAGTGTTTATTTTTACAGGATGGGGTTGCTAGCCCCATGCCCAACCTTTCCTCTTTGGCAGTATTATTTCTAGCTTAGCGAGGTAAAAGAGTGCTTCGTCGGCAGGGGAACGAACCCCGGACCATATGCATGGTCGGCGAGCGTCCTAACCGCTGTGCCACCGACGCTGAATTTATACGTCACATTATATTTGCAAGTGATCACTAGAAGTCAAGAGATCTCTGACTGCTGTTGAATTACTTGTTTTTAGTGATGATGAATGCATCAGAAAGTGATTTAGTAAAACAGAATCGCTCACCTTGGCTAATCCAATGTAAAAAACTATGATCCCCCAAACGACGAGCATGCAAGATATTGAGATGAGCAAAAAGCATCCCTCTCTTTTCAAATGTCTTAAATTCATACCTATCATAACGACTATTATTGTGATGAGAACTGTCGAGCTGACAGAAATTAACAGATATCTCATTTCACCACACTGAAAAAAGTATGCTGTACCCACAGAAATCAAGATGATCTAGGTTGGAGAATAATATAAAACATATTATGATATTTCACATGATTACAAATAATATTTATGTGTTTGTGGTGGCATTACTCAAAATATTAATGTGACCAGTGAGATTTGAACGACGATACTTCTATGCACGGTGTTTTCTAATATGGGATGAGACATTCAAGCTAGCTGATTTCACGTGGCTCACATTCAGCGAAACTGGTGGATTTGTAGTGAAATTAGCAACGGTCATCTCTGATCAGTGACACGTAATAAATCATATTGCATCTACGTCTAAGGAGTTCAGCATCATTCAACAACATCATAGCACGGCATCTGAATGATGTGAGACACCAGATCAACATACTGGAATCTCTTACGGTGGTGACTGACATATAACGACTATTTCGAACTGTTGGATTTGTGATGACCTGATGAGTGAAACCTGGGTTTTATGCGCATTCATAAGCAGCTTTTCGGAACTCCGATATCACCCCACTTCACGCCTATGTGCTGTAACAATCTTTTAATCGACCATCGCTGAGATGCACCGTGAACCAATGCAGTATCAATCTGGTTTATTCTGATACATCACATAATCACTGAAAGAATAATAAGTAATGCAAGTTATTTAGACTGGCGTCAATTGACAGGAAGACATGCAACTAGTCTTGATACTTGTTGGAACACATCAACGCCAAATATCTCGAACAATGGAAGAGCTCATATTCTTTCACACACTTCAGTCGTTGTCGGATGAATAGGTGTTATCTCCGTCCACTTCAGGTCAAGTTCACCTCCTCGTAGGACTGTTTTGTGGGCACGGATTTAGAGTGGGTTAGAAACCAGTTTATTTGCCCAGATTTAATTGTGTTTTGACTGAGGTGCGATAAAATGCTTAAACGCATAGCATAAACGTCTTGTCAATGTTCGCTTTCCTTCAGTGACTGCATGGAGATTTCAGCCCACTTGTTTGGCGAATATATTCCAACTAATCCAATGTAGGAAATAGGGCAATACATACACTCTCAAGGTTTATAACAGTTAGGCATTGAAATCGCTTCAGAATATATAGTGTCACACGGATATCAATTTTACAATGAAACCATTGATGACTTTCTGGTAACTGATAGGGGAATTGTTCTCAGTGGGTGCATAGTTGACAACACAGGTCCTAGAATAGGTTTCAGAATTCGAGTGTTCTCCTGTAAAAACCTTGTGGTACAATGTATGGCTTCAAATAAAATATTCTCAGTAATATCCTCCCTGACGTTGGACGGCAAGCGTGACTTCCATAAGGAGCTGAAGTCTTCTCGACATTGTGTATTTTTCAATAGTCAGCTATGTCTCACATGAATTGTAGAAAGGGGAAATATGATAAACACTTTGAAACTACTGAGATAAAAATGCACTTACCGATAAGTTCATTAGAATAAAATTAACTGCAAACATGGACTGTAGGTTTTTAAACAATGTCAAAATAGTGAAGACAATACCACCACAAATTCTGAAATACAAGTAGGTACATCACTTGTCTTAGCATAAAAGTTGGACAGACCAGGAAACGTATATACAATGTGAATGTATGTTATAAATATTCTGAATGCATTCAGTGTGCACAGATTCTAGTCGGAAATAGAAACTCGTCAAACTGTGATACCAACAACAGTCGATACACAATCACCATATACAAAACTCGAGAAAACTCCGACTGGACAGGCAATCAGTGGATGTATTGAGTGACAGTTCCTCAGACCTGCACTAGGCAGGTTACATTTGGTGAAGAAAGCAAATCATCAACAGCTTAGATCAGCCTCACCTGGTTGTCTTTCAGATAATAAGAAGGTGTAGTGCATTTGCAAAGCATTCAATGAGCAAGAACTTCGTTTCATTGATGAACAGCATGAATTACATTATGCAGTTCTAGTTATAGATATGATAGAAAAGATTTGTAGCTCAGGTTGATGATTTTGATGCGGTTTTGTTCTCTGAGCTGGATGGTTAGTTTGCGAAGCTTTCATCACCTTACTGGGTGACATCTTCAGCGCATACTTCAATTTGAAGTGAGCTTTTAGATTTCTCCACGAGTTTATTAATCATCTCTCCCGGTGACCTTGGACGTGATTGGTTGTTTGTGTGTGTTTTCACACCTTCTAGGTTACTTGTATTGGAACCGGTTGTTTCTTTGACTTTAACTTTGACCCTTTGTGTATGAAGTTTCTTTCTTATTGGTTGATAACTTTTGTCTATCTCGATGTGTCTATTGATTGATGATTCACTGGAATGCCAAGGTTCTAAAAATTCTCTAGCATTCTTGTTATTTCCTTTTGTCTTATATTTGAACGTTGTCCCAGTCGAATTGATGTCCGTAGTTGTCTGTGTGTAGTGAAATGAGGGAGTGGATATCATGTCTTTTGACGGCTAGCTTATGTTCGTGTTTACGAAGACGAAGGGGACGTCCACTTTGGCCGATGTAGTGTTTTTTGCAGTTGTTACAGTTTATTTTGTAGATGATGTTGGTTTTGTCTTCTTTCGCTGTTGAGTCTTTTGGTTGACATAGAATTGAGTGCAGCGACTTTGTTGGTTTGTGTACGACGTCAATTCCTAAAGGTTTGAAGAGTCTTGTAGTGATTTCTGAGATATCTTTTATATATGGTAAGGCAATTTTCTTTGTGCTTTCCTTGGTGGTTTTTGCTTTGGTAGGTTGGCTTGGGGGTATATGTCTCTTGATAAAATTCCGTGGATATCCATTCTTTTGGAAGACGTCCATGAGATACTTTTCTTCAATTTTACTTAAGGTGGGAGTGCTACAGTGAGTCCTTGCTCTCTTGAATAGTGTTTGTATGCAATTCCTTTTGTGTGTTATTGGGTTGTTGCTGTTGTAATTCAGTATTTGGTCTGTGTGAGTTGATTTCCTATAAACCTGAGTTTCTAATTCTCC